ACACGCAGAGCATGGGCACCCGAGAAAGGCTACACAGAGAGAACTGGCACAGCGGGGAGCCCCCATCCAGCAAGGAGCCCAGAGTGGGAGGAAAAGAGAGTTACCTTTTCCATAACTGGTGTTCTTCGAGATGTGTTGCTCACGTCCATTCAAGGGGGCACCGGAGCCGGTCCCCTAGGGATACTGCTGAGGGAGAAACTTCCGGCACTGGTGCATGTGGCGAGCGCACACACGTAAGCTGGATGGACATGAGCAATCAGTCGAAGAAGAACCATTACACCAGAAAATGGCTGGATCCTGCTTTGCAGACACACACTCCTCAGCCCAGAGCTCTGCCAGCTCTCCTGGGATGGGACCGAACACGCCCAAAGCTGTCTGGGCAGGGGGCTGCTTGGCAGACAGGAACAGGGCATCGACTCCAGGCACTGGGGTGCACGCGGCAAGTCAGAAAGCACAAAGAGAGGAGGGCGGCTATGCAGGCGGCACCCTGGGACTGCTACCCACCATTACTGTTATTTATTAGGTGTATTACGGTAGCGTCTAGCAGCCCATCATGGACCAGGGCTACACTGCGCTAGGTGCTGTACAAACACAGGACAAAGAGACAGCCCCTGCCCCAAGGCGCTTACAGTCCAAGTATAAGACAGAAGACAAGAGACAGAGACAGACATGGGCGTGCAAGGAAACAATGAGGCACGATTGTGTAAACAGACCACACAGACACGGCGGGGGGGAGGGGAGCGGTAGCACCCACAGGCAGAGAGACCAATGGGATGGCAGCAGACGGCACGTTAGCACCATGATTTTTTGTTCTTTTCTCTTTTTTTGGTGCGTTTAGTTAGCAGGGGATCAGCTAAACAGAAAGAAACGGGAGGGGGCGAGGGCCGGGGAGGAGGAGCAGTGTGGTGTGACGCCAGGCCCCAGCCCTCCAGCACAGGATGGAGACAGTCAGAGAAATCTCAGCCCTTTTGCCTGGACCGTCCAGAGGCCCCTGCTTTGTCTGCTCCTGTCCCCACTGGCTGG